CCATATTCCCAATTTTCCTTTAGGGGGAATCGGTTCCCCCATGACATACTGGAAATTCTTGTTCGTTTGAAGGGGTATCGGTTCCCCTTGAATGGGTACCGATTCCCCTTGCCTAGAAATCATATTTTGAGCTCGAAAATCCTTCATTTTCAGCTCAACACATCATACTTCATTCCCTTTAATATTCCTAACTTTCATACACATACTTAAACTCATTTCTACTCCATAATCACTTCTTTAAACTCAAAATTCTATCTTCCATATAAGATTCAAAAATCATACCAAATTTTCAATGTGTTCTAATTCCCATTCTATCACTTCATATCTCTTAATTTAATCATTGACAAGTCAAATTCAACTTCACAATCTATTAACTCCTTCCATATCAAAAATTCACTTAAAAACTCATTTTTCTTAATTTCTCATAACTTGTTAATCTTTGAGGTTTAAGCCACTTAAAGCTTTCCTTAATCTTTCTTAATATCCCAAGAATCAAAACAAGCTTTAAAACGAAAGAATTAACCAACTAAAGACCCACTTACCTTATACCAAGCTTCACGGTTGAGAGGAGGAAGAAGACTGAAGAATGCTCTGGACTCTTCTTCCTCCGTGCTTATTACCCTTTAAAAAAAATTATAAAAAATCTTTCTGGTCAAATGACCATAATACCCTTAATTTCCTTTAATAATTACCAAATAACCTTCAATATATATATTCAAATAATCATTGAATTATTTCATTCTTCTACTTTAGTCACCAAATTCTGAAACTTTACAATTTGGTCACTAACCCGGTATTGCGGATGTTACACAGATCCAACGGTGGTGAGCAATGGCGGCTGGGAGCTTGTGATACAAACCCTAATCAATTTAGGGTTTATGTTTGTAACTGGGCCTGGACCAAATTGGGTCTGTTGGGTCTGGGCCAATATGGGTTGTAATTGGGCCGGATTTGGCATGTTTGTAATAATAATAATACTAAATAAAATAATAATAATAATAATATATAAAATAATAATAATAATAGAAAATGGAGAAAAAAATAGTATCTTCAGATATGTTTGGTCCAATAGCTGATAATGCTGGTGGTATTGTAGAGATGAGTCAGCAGGTACTATATAGTTGATTCTCTAGTTTCTACTGTTAACAATCTGTATATTGCAGTTTCTTCTTTTTGGATCGTCTAAATTAGCTGTTAATGCCTTGTACAGCCAGAGAGTGTGCGAGAGATTACTGATGTTCTTGATGCTGTTGGGAACACCACAAAAGCTACCACCAAGGGTTTTGCCATTGGATCTGCAGCACTTGCTTCTTTTATTCTGTTTAGTGCATATATGGACGAGGTTTCATATTTTGCACGTCAATCCTTTAAACAGGTCTGTGTTATTATACTTCTGCTTTAATGAAGGCGGTATATGGTTTACCACTCATTTCCTACTTATTTTTTACTTATGAATAAAATAAAAATAAAATTAAAAAGAAGCAATGTTTGAATAAATTACAAAAAGAAAAATGCATGGTTTTACTTGTAAGCACATAATTGTGTTTGAATTGGTGTTTCTAAGAAATGGAAAATAATGTAAAAAAGTGGCAATGAATGGAGTTTGAATAAACTTTCAGGTTAGTGACTCTGCGAAGTGTTTCGTTTTTTTTCTTTTCTAACATTTGTAGTGTAAATAAACTTTCAGGTTGATATTGCCATTCCTGAGGTTTTCATTGGTGGATTGTTGGGCTCCATGCTTGTATTCTTATTTAGTGCATGGGCCTGTGCTGCAGTTGGCCGAACTTCTCAGGAGGTTGTTAAGGAAGTCAGAAGACAATTTATTGAGAGGCCTGGTATCATGGTGGGTCTAAGATTTCAATTCCCTTTTTAGTGTACTTTAACAACTAGCTCTTTTATTATATTTGAATCAAAAGTAACCCTTAAAAATTGTAAAATATTTCTTATCCGGATAAAATAATTATGAGAGAAGTGACAAGAAGAGAAAAAGATGCAACTGCAGTTTTTGCTCCATGGAGTTCACTTTTGAAGTCTCTTTCCAAAAGTATAAAGATATGAAGGAGATTTAAAATTTTCTACTATCACGTAGACAACTGTAAAGTAATTGATTTTTTTTTTTAAATCATGTTGTTTCTTCACTATAATTTCTTTCATTTATCTTGTGTGAACATTTATGCTTTATTTTTCTACAAACTTATTGCAGGACTACAAGGAGAAACCAGATTATGGTCGTTGTGTTGCTATTGTGGCATCTGCATCTTTGAGGGAGATGATAAAACCGGGTGCTTTGGCTATAGTATCACCAATTGTAGTTGGTACGTTAATTGCTCTTTGCTGGTTTTATTAGTTAAGTTTTTGCAATACTGGGGTGGTTTTTTTTTATCTTATTAATTCTCAATTTCTTCTATCAATAAAATTCCCACTTCTCAAAAAAAAAAAATCCTCAATTCTGCTTTTTTTTTCAATATCCTTCATTTCATTCTGATTCGTTGTGCTACTTATTTCGTTTTTTAGATGTGTTGAAATATTGCTGGAATCTCTAGAACCATGTCAAGAATGTAGGAAATTATTTTTACCAAAAGAAAAAGAGAATTTAGGAGATCAGATAGTCAAAGTGGTTTCTTGGATTTTCTATTCAGTTTAGTTTATTTTTTAGGCAATCTAAGCACAATCAATGTGTAACAATTTGCAGGTTTTGTATTCCGAATTTTGGGACACTATACTGGACATCCTCTCCTGGGAGCAAAAGTAGTGGCTGCTCTGCTGATGTTTGCAACAGTTTCTGGTATTTTAATGGCTCTCTTTCTGAACACAGCTGGTGGTGCCTGGGATAACGCAAAGAAGTTTATCGAGACCGGAGCTCTCGGTGGCAAAGGCAGTGATTCTCATAAAGCAGCAGTTACTGGAGATACGTAAGTTTGCTTTTCCTTTCCTTTTTCTTATATTCTTGTTCCTTTCCGTAGAGCTATGTTGCTACGACTCATATTCTTTTTCTTTAAATATCCATGGCCCGAAAGTATGGTGATATGACCTCTCCAAATATATTGGAATTCTGACCATACTCATGCTAGGCACATATTTGTACGAGTCCGAGTAACATAGCTCTTAGATGATAGAGATAGGCAAAATCATAGTGAAAAGAAGAAGAATAATTGGAACATGTGGGATTGCAGTGTGGGAGATCCATTCAAAGACACAGCTGGACCTTCACTTCATGTGCTCATAAAAATGCTTGCTACCATAACACTTGTAATGGCGCCGGTGTTCCTCTGAAAGAATTTCATTTGTAATGGCCACGGCTGCCCGTCTCATCACATCTTTTTCTATCTGAAATAAAAAGAAACGTAAAGTTTGCACTTTGATCTTCTGGTTTACAATCTTCAACCAATTCATTTATATGGTTTTACAGTATGTCTGGCTTAATTTACAAAATGATCCTCTGAGAATGTCCGTTCGCACCTAAAGAACACCACCATAAATAATATAGATATTTGAAAAGAAAAAAAAAATATTCCATCATATAAAGAGATTGGATTCGGATCGGATAACTTTTTTGGAATTGCTCTGTTTTCTTTCATGCTGCTGCACATTTTCCTCTTCGAAAAATAGCCTAAGCCCATTTATGCAAAGTCACTGTTCTTTATTCTATTATTAGTACTAGTATGCTGATGATTTCCTCATTTCTTTTATTTTCCCTTTATTATAAGTTTATTTTTAATCAAATTTGAATCTCATGTTTCACTACCATCGTAAAATATCTATGTTTCTAACAATAAATTTATTATTTTTATAATTTCGTCCCTTTTCGTTAATTTCTTGAATTCTTTATACTCGTTAATGTATTCTTTTAAAAAATATTTTATTTAAAAGTAGGGTAAAGTACACAAATGGTCCCCCAGCTATAGGATATTGTTTTATTGAGTCACTTAACTATTAAAAGTTACTAAATGACCCTCTTATTATAGGGAGTTACTTTGTTTAGCCCCTTGACCATTAAAAGTTACAAAGTGGTCACCTGATTATTTATTATGTTCCAAACTCATCATTTTCTGTTAAAAATTTGACGACAGTCTAATCTGCACATTAACCACCTGACTGAGATATGATAAAATTTGATCTCATAATCTCAAACGGATATCATATCTCATTCAACATGTTAACGTTTAGCTCAGGCGACCGTTAACTTTTTAACGGAAATAAATGAGTTTGAAACTATAATGAATAGTCAAGTGATCATTTTGTAACTTTTAATAGTTGAGGGACTCAACAAATCAACTCTTTATAGTCATAGCGTCATTTTGTTACTTTTAATAGTCAAAGAACTCAATAACATAATATTATATATATATATATATATTATAATTTTAGATAGTATTTAGTTTATTAAATAATATTATAAATTTTATTTACACATAAAAAAGAATATAAATATATATCTTATGTTCTTATATGATTAGAGAAATTTGTTTAAATTGAAGCCAATATGTATAATAATATTATATAAAATTATAATTAAATTTAAAGAGAAATTCAATTAACTCGACTTAAATTTCATAATTGCAACTCAAAAAATTCAAATAAAGTTTGAATCATAAAATAAAATTCATTAATTCAACTAACCCAAAATCTATCATCTAAAATTGAACACCGACACAAAATCGCCGATTATAACTCTCCACCCAAATTAAAAAAAAAAGTGAATCACCTATGACCACCACAACTCAAATATTCTCATAAATAATTTTAATTATAAGTCTTATAATTTAAATTTAAAACTCTAATCCACTAATTAAATTCGTAAAGTATAAATTAAAATTTACACGATCTGTCTATAAGATAATTTTACTTTCAAAATATGCTTTTAAAATTAAGAAAAACTAAATACTAGAAGAAGCTATCACACAGTGACCACACAATTTGAGCAGAACCGGATATAAGAAATCGGGTTGATATTCAAATACGGATCCAAACCAAACAGTTCCTTATCGGGTGACGTTATCCCTCTCACCCGCCATTGAATCAACCCCAAAACCAGCAACGACGCCTTTTCATTTCGCGAGATAAATCAATAGAACAATTGTTTGGATGTTAAATTGGAGTTTGGGTTGATGTTAGTTTATTTATTTCGGAATTAAAGACTTTGGTTAGTTACTTCAGATATTAAGAGCTCCATCATTACCATGTGGATTGCAGCAGCATCGACGTCGATTTCTACCTTGTCTTTCTTTAATATACAATGCTCTGATTCTAACCCTAAACGGGGCTTTGGTCCCAGAAAATCCACGCCAAAGGTAAACTCCTACTCTCCTCTTGTTTTTTGCTTCAAGTGTAGTCTTCTTTAAACATGGATTCCCCCTCTGAAAACCCAGGCAAACAAGACTAGCACATCAAGCGAGAAGGGTTTGAATTTACAATCAAGGTATCTAAAAAATTGCTAGCTTATGTTTGTACTACAAGAGATGGTAAACCTTATTGATTTCTTTTTGTCGAATTGAACATCTCTTATCTGTTACCAGTTGGTTATAGGCTTGCTATAACCACAACCTCCTACCTCATAGTAGAAAGATCATTTTGTTTTAAATATTTTGGTTAGGAAATTCTGACTATGGTTAAGACAATAAGACACCAAATGCAATGACGCTGAAGGCTTCGTTATATTCATTCTTTCCCTTGACTATGTATCTATTCTTCCTATAGCATGTTTTTATGATCAAGGCTGACAGCTCCCACTCCCCAATTCTTGTTTCTTTCTTTCTTTCTCCTTTTCCTTAAAACATGTGGACATAAACAAACTGTATGAGATTGTTGTTCTGTTGTAAAAGTTTTAAAATATCCTAGATCATTAATTTGATTATGTTTCAGTTTATCATAATAAATTGTAAATAATATTGCTTTGTGCAGGAAATCAGATAGTAAGCAGTCTGGTCCTTCACCTGCGCGTAAGTAAGATGTATTTCTTTTCTTAGAAAATCAATTCATTGGACTTATTACTGATATGGCAATATTTGTTAACTAAGATTTCTACCCCCCCCTTTTTTTCATTTTTCCTTTGACTTCTGTAATCTCCTTTTGGTTTTTAGTTGTTAGGTTGACTGGTGGGTATCTTATGTCTCTCATGTTGTCATCTAATTATCACACGAATCCTCAATAAAAAGGAATAAATTTCTTTTTTATTCTTTTAAAGAGTGTGTCATTGTGTGAGGGGTGGGGGTCAGCAATGGTGGACTGGATATATCCCCTAGAAGTGGGAGCTATGGTAACTTCATCAAGTTGAGGCATCTCAGCCCTTGGAATGGCTCTTTCTTGTTTCTTCTTGTTAAAATTTTGCACAAAAGTTTTTGTTATAAAATATGCTTTCTGAGCTTAAAGGTTGAACACATAGTGTTTCCTTCAATGTAAATTGGTTTAATTATTTTTACTATTTTATTTCGTTAGATTTCCTAGACAAGGATAGACTCACCAGAAGATGTACAATTAAATGATGCTGGAATTAGTTCCCTTATTCTTGTTTCTTGAGCGACCTATTTTGTAAGAAGATTCAACTCATCAAAGGAGTTGACACCTCTGACCTCGTTAGAATGAGCTCCAATCTCTTAGGTTCAGGGATAAATTTGCTTATTTATTAACAAGAAAACTACTTCTCTTGATTAGATGTTTACAATGTTTAATCTTGGATTATGAAAATAAGAACAACTAATAATTCATGGGATTACTATGAATTTATAGTGATTATTTAAAGAATAATCCTTATTTAATTAATACTATATTTAAGTTATGTTCTTGCTAATTCCTTCCCTTGCCAAAAGCGTCCACAACATATTTTTGTCCTAATTCTATAAAATTTTCAAGTTATTCACCCAAAAATTATTGTTACATGCAGAGGCTCCTGGTTTAAGTGTTCAATTTGATGGGAAATCTAACAGCAACTCCTTGGACATTGACTTTGAGGAAAGGCTTGCAGCAATTAGAAGGTACATTTGTGTTACATTTTTCTCCTGATTCATGCTTGCTAGAAATATCTTCACATTAAAATGTAATAGATTGTTATTGATGTTTATCAAATTACACATAGTAATTACTCAGGTAGTGCTTTCCGTTCACAATTGATGTCTCACATCAATCTTGGATAAGGAGAGGGTTCCTAGTTTAGCCTTTAGAAAAAACTAGAGGAAGAAGGTTCTAGTTTAGCCTTAGGAAAACTAAAGGAGGAGGTTCTAGTTTAGCCTTAAAAAAACCAGAGGAAGAGGGTTCTAGTTTAGCCTTACAAAAACTAGAGGAGGAGGTTCTAGTTAAGCCTGAAAAAAACACTAGAGGAGGTTCTATCTAAGCCTTGAAAATATAGTATTGTTAAGTCAACCATGTTCCATAAGTTGAATGGCTGCAGCAACCCACTCTGTGAATGACAGAAAAAGCTTAAAGACATCTTAGAAGTAGATGCAGAAACCAGAAAAAGATCATCACTGGCAGAGGAAAGTTTTTTTTTTTGATAAGAAAGGGAGGCCTCGTTAAAAACCCCCTTCATAACCGTCAAAACACTAAGGTATCCCAACGGACATTGGAAAGAGGAAAAGAGTGCCTCAAAATTTTATTACCAACCAAGAAAAAGCAGTACAAGATGACCATTACAACAACACCACCTTACATAAAAAATAAACCTCCTAGAAAACCAAAAAAAAAAAACACATGCTCATCCAATTCCTATCTTAGCTAATTCATCCGCCTCACAATTCACAATTTTATTGATATGTCTTACAATAACATTCCTATCTACTACCAAAGACCCAATTTCCTTTACTAGCGAAATAAATAAAGCAATAAAAGAACTCGAAATCTTGATCCAATCTAAGGCTTTGCTGCAATCACTCTCCAAAATAAGTTTTCCCCTTGAGTGGAAGACATCTCACTAGGGTGCAAAAACCAATAACAACAGTTGCACATTATCAACAATGGCTATGGGTGAACTCAATGGCTCCCAAAATAAGGGAGGATTTTTTTTACTCTTTGAGACAACATAGTCGTTGCCAAAGAGATGAGAACGCATCCAAGATCCAAGCTGGGAAGTTCACTAAGTTTACTCACCAACTTGAGGGGTAGTGTAGATTGCTGAAAATTAGGGAATTATATTCCCAAATAGTTAGCTGTTGAAAATTAGAGAATTATATTTCCAAATATTTGGAGGTAATTTCGAGTGGAACAAGTGGTTGTGGTCTGGTTTGACTCCTCCTAGAGTTGAAACATTTTCTTTGGCAGATCTCTCACCAAAATTTGGCCGTTAGAGTGGAGTTGAAGAAAAGGGGAGTTCCCTTGGAAGATGTTCTTTGTCCTTTATGTCATAAGCATGAAGAAACAATTCAACACCTTTTCATCACATGCTTTGTTGCAGGGGAGCTGTGGAATAGATTCCTAAGGTTATGGGATATCTCTTCAGTTCTGCCTCAATGGTCTTATATAAGGGCTTATTCTTCTATTTGGAATTTTATCCCGGGAGTTGTTTTGTGGTCATTATGAAAGGCTAGGAATTCGGTGGTGTTTGAAAATTGGAATTTCGACAGTTCTTCTATGTTCTTCATTTCTAGATTTAGGTTGGCTAAATGGTTTTTAGCTAAATTCCCTCATGTTCATATTCAGGCTGATTTACTAGTTGGGGATCCCTCGCTTGCAGACAAGATTCCTAATAAATCCTTTAAGATAAAGAAGGTTCACTGCTGGCTTCCTCCTCCACCTGATTTTTTTAAATTCAATGTGGATGGGGCTGTAAGAGGTGATGGGCTGCAGGGTGGAATTGGACGAATTTTGAATGATTCTAATTGCAATACTTTAGCCACTTTCTCTATTGGTGTAGGGTCAGGTCCTCCTCCTTTGGCTGAGTTGAAAGCCATTAAAGAAGGCATTGATTTTTTCCTTTCTTCTGACTGGGCATTGAAGGGAAGACTTATCATAGAGAGTGATTGTAAATCTGCAGTTGACTGGATTTTGTTGCCGTTCTCTGCCCCTACGTTTTTCAGTTCTTTGGTTGGGGAAATTGGGGCATTAGTTTCTGCTAGGGAGATTATTGTTAGACTGATTTCTAGGAGCTGTAATTGGGAGGCAGATAAATTAGCTAAGGAGGGGGTTGGATGAATGTTTTGAGTTTTATTGATGTAATGTTTTGGGTTTTTATTTTTGGTTGTTTAATGTGTAAGGTGTACTCTTCTGTAATTATTGTTTTATCTATAAATTGAGGTACTCTTTTCCTCCTTCCGCTAGTTGCCTCTTCATAAGAGCCAACTTAAAGAGGTTTTTAATGAGGCTTCCTATTTCTATCAAAAAAATATTTCCAAATATCTAACTGCTAACATTTAGGGATTTAATTGCTGAAAATTGAAGTGCTCTTTTCCTCCTTTCGCTACTTATTGGCTACCTCATGGTTAGCCGAGAAGTATGAAGGGTTTTTTTAATGAGACCTCCCACTCTTATCAAAAAGAAAAAAAATACTGATTTTGTGTAATTTGCTTATTTTGTGAAATTCTCCTAGATTAGACTCTCTTTGTAACTTATAAATAGGTGCCACTTTTATCAATAGAAATATCAACAAATACAGAGGAATATAATTTTCTTCTCTGCACATACCACTTTTCTACATCATCCACATACAGAATCAAGAGAGATTTTTTATAGTTGTGTGAACATTTGAAAAAGGGAGTATAATCAGTCTGTTTTTGGAATTGCAGATAATATTTTCCCACTTTGTGGTTTGGTCTTGGAAACTGTCCCACACTTGTTTGTGTCATGTCCTGTTCGGTTGTTTGGAGGTTATGGACTAATTTTTTACGGATTTGGGACTTGTCTTTTTTGGTGCCAGAAAATCCCGCTGCTCTCATTTTCGCTTGGTTGGATTTAGTACCTCGTTCAAGAATATGGTATTTTATTGCGGGGGTGATCTTATGGTCGGTTTGGAAATATAGGAATGAGATTATATTTGAGAAAAAGAAATTGGACCAAACTCTTCTGTTCTTTATAACGCGATATAGGTTGTCGGCATGGTTTTCAGCAAAATTTCCAAATGTTTCGATTCCATTTGATTGTCTTGTGGGAAATCCTTCCTTGGCTGATTCTTGATCGAACAGTAAGAAAACTTCCATTATTCCTATGACGTGGCGCCCTCCACCTAAAGGTTTCTTCAAAGTGAATGTGGATGGGGCTTTTTTTTTTACCTATTTCAATAGGTGAGATGCTCTGCCGTTGCACTCGTGAAAAAAGTAAGTGAGACAAGCTCCAGCTTCTCTCTAACCTAGGAGATTTCAAATTTCAAAATTCCAGGGGCAGAGGGAGAGAGAATATGAGTGATGTTTAACAGCCTTCTTCATCGTCGTCCGTCGCTTGCCGTCCGTCATCCGTCGTACTCCGACCACCGTCCCCCGCCGCACATCGACCTCCTTTTGACGCCTTTTTTCTTAAGGATCATCGTCTATCCATAGAGTTTCCTTTTTCCTGGTTTATTTTGATTGATTCCCCTTCAATCGGGGCAAATCTAAACACCTTCGTCGATTTTTCCATCAGCAGTCTTCAAAGTTCGTTCTAGCTGTGCATGTCGGAAGCTCGTGACAAAAACCCAAGTATTAAACTGTGAACACCCACTGCCGTTCACCGGAATTTTACTGTTCAAAAATTCCGTCACTGTTCAGGAGCTCTATTTTCAGAACGCTGCTGGTGGTTCTGGGTTTTCACGCACGTTGTCATAAACCTTTTCATCTCTGGTTTTTTTGGTTCAAAACTAAACAGTTCAGCAGCCTCTGCATTCAAAATGACGTTCAAGAATCGCGATGAAGCAACAGAGAAACGGGCTGAAACCTCAGCTCGCTAGACTAAGAATAGTCGTCAGTCCGAGATAGAGGAAAAGCAGAACGTAAATCCTTTGAAAAAATCAGATATTAAGACGAAACTAGTGGATTTTATACTGTCGAAGGTGAGTGAAGTGGAGCATCAAAATCAGAGAGACGGGCAGCAGACAAAGACTGTGCATAAATCAGAGGAGGCGAGGAAGAAGCTGAGTAGTACAGTGGCAGCGGAAAAATATGAGAGGATGGTGTTGGTGACAAACAAGAATAGGGATGATTCGTTGGTTGAAGCAAGGAGTGTGGAAGGGGCCATTGCGTAGATTTCTGAGGCGGAAATCCTTCCTCAGGATTCTCACGTTTTTAACTACTGGAGGAAGAAAGATTATCCAAGAATCAACAATGGGTTTAGAGATGGTTGTTTTACGTTATACATTGATAATTTACCAGAGAATATCCATTGGAAGCGGTTTGGATCGTTATTTTGCCCATACGGTCAGGTTATTGACGCCTTCATTCCAACTAAAAGAAATTCAAAGGGGGCACGTTTCGGTTTCATTCGCTTTGCTACAATTGGAGAAGCCCAGAGAGTGATCTCAAAGATGAATGGCGCTCGCATTGGTGGTAGTAAAATTGGAGTCTCTTTTTCTAAATACAACACAAGACATTCTTTTTGGAGAAAGTCTTCGCCAGTTGTCCACCTAAAGCCCGAGAGAGAAAATGTTACAAGAAATAATCTCTATACAGTAAATGGTGTTGTTGACGAAGCTAAACTTCAAGTTTTGGATAACTGCCTAATGGGGTGGTGCAAGAACTATACCAAAATCGGTGATCTTGCTAGCCAAATGCAAGACAAAGGACTCAACGGTTTCTCGTTAATGAGAGCTGCTGGGAATGTAGTTCTCATGATATTCGAGGATTCTGATACGTTGTGAAGGGTTAAGAATGAACAATCATAGACTCTTGCAGGGTGGTTTTCTAGAGTTGAAGTTTGGTCGGAGAATCTAGTGGTTGAATGCCGTCGAGTATGGGTAGTTTGTTAAGGGATTCCTTTTCACGCGTGGAATTAGGGTACTTTCAAGAACATTGCGGCTAGGTGGGGCAAATTAGTATCAATTGATGAAAGCTCTCAGTTTCCTACTTTTGATCGTGCAAAACTTCAAATCCTCACAAAGACTAAAGTGAGGATTGATGAGTCATTAAGTTTGAAGGTCGGTTCTAATTCTTTTGAAATCATGGTGCATGAAGTTGAGCCTTCTTTCAAACCAAACTCTTGGATCCTTGAGGAAGTCGATGATTCTCCAGATCTGAATTGTTTTCTCGGGGCAACGTTGGAGAATTCTCTGTCAGGATCGTCAGTGTCATCCCCAGGTTTAAATTGCCCCGTCAAAGATGTTGCAATTGAAGGTCCCCACTTAGAAAAGGTTTCACTCATAAATTGTGTCAAAAGCGATGAGAAATCGAGTAACAAATTGGGGTTGCACACAATGGAGGCTGTGGGTCATTCAAAATTAAATATCGTGGAGCATCTAGCTAATAAATCAGTTGATCATTCTGATGGTGTTAGCCTCAGGGCCTCGGAAGATGCTCTTATGATGGGTCTCATTACTTCTCATGGTTCATCTACTGACACACTTCAATTAAAGTAAGATACCCCAGTGGTGCCCCCTATCCCTGTGAAATTAAGAACTAATCGTGTGGCGAAGAAATGCAAGACAAAGGAAAGAGTTCTGAATTAAGTGGCAAGGAAACATTGATTGAAGGGAAGGAAGTGTGGTTTTGGTTCATTAAAGATAATTTATCGAGCTGATTTTTTTGGTGATTTTGATACATGGTATTTTTGTGGAGTTCCCTTCAGAGGCGGATGTTTTTGTTTTAATGATTTTAGGTGTTGTTTTTATGTATGTTATGTCATTAAATGTTGGGTTGTTTTCCTATTGATGGAGGTTTATCTTAGGTATAGGGTGATTGCCTCTTGATTTTTGTGGTCGAGAAGGTGAGAGCTTTAGGTGATTATGTTTTTTGTAATGGTGTTTATCCTCGTTTGAGAGTATTTCGTGTTTTCATATGTAATGAGGCGTTTTATTCAATGAAATATGAGGTACTCTTTTCTTCCTTCCTATGTTCGTTAACATACTTCTTAGTATGTGGACGAATACGAAGGGAGTTTTTAATGAGACCTCCAACTTCTATAAAAAAAATGTGGATGGGGCAATGAACAAGCATTGAATTAAAGGGGGAATTGGAGGCTTATTAAGGGATGCAAATGATATTGTGCTGGGGACTTTCTCTGGAAGTATAGGTTCGGGTTCTCCTATTTTGGCGGAGTTATCGGCAATCAAAGCAGGCTTATTGTTCTTCATGGAGTCTACTTGGCCTCGAGGGGAAGACTTATTTTAGAGAATGATTGCTCCAAAGCCTTAGATTGGATTAGAAATCCGGGTTCTATTTCTTCTTTGTTTATTTCGCCAGTAAAGGAAATTGTGTCTATTGTAGTAGATAGGAATGTTATTGTGAGACATATTCAAAGATGTGCGAATTTTGAAGCGGATGAATTAGCAAAGCTAGGAATTGGTTAAGGTGGTGTTTTGTTGTAGGTTTTCTTAGGAGAGTCTTCTAGTTAAGGTTCTTTATGTTTGTTTTGGATATGTTGTACTTTGAGGTTTTTTTATTGTTAATAAAATTTTGAGGCACTCTTTTCCTCATTCCAATATTCGTCGAGATACTCTTGTATTTTGATGGTTATGAAGGGGTTTTTTAACGAGGCATCCCTTTTTTATAAAAAACCATGCTTCTTTATAAGCTATCAAACCAAGCTCTTGTTGACTGTTTTAGACCATAAAGCAACTTCTTTTTGGGATTAATTTGGACGTCTCGACTGTCAGTGATTGGGCCAAGTCTATAGGGGGTGTGGCTGATTTTTTTTCGACGAAGTATCTTAGGCTCCCTCTTGGGTTCAGGCAGAATTCGACAGCGTTATGGGAGCCGATTATCCAGAAATTTTATCAGAAGTTAGCTGGTTGGAAAGTTTTGACGCTTTCCCTTGTTGGTAGGGTTGTGTTGGTGAAATCTTTCCTGTCTGGGCTTCCGATTTGTTATATGTCTTTGTTCAAAATGCCTTCTAGCGTTTCAAGAACGTTGAATTCAGTTATGGCTGAATTTTTATGGGGAAGCACATCACATAGAAGTAGAGTTCATTGGATTAATTTGTCGCAAGTCTGTAAACAAAGAGAGTATGGGGGGTTGGGTATCATTGATTTAATGCTTATGAATAAAGCTTTATTAGGTAAGTGGGTTTGGAAATTTGGAAGCGAGAAAGAATCCTGGTGGAAAAGGATGGTGTGCTCCAAGTACAAATTGGATAGAAGAGAGATACGGTTGGGGAATAGTCTGTCCGCCCAGTCTTCTTGGCTTTGGAAAGGAGTTTTCAATAACTTCTGGTCAGATAACACTTTTAGCCAAGGGTTACGTAATCATTTTGTGCTGCAAGTTGGGAAAGGGAATTCGTTTTTGTTTTGACAGGATGAATGGCTGTGCAACCTTCCTCTGAGGATGAAATTTCCTAGGCTCTTTGCTCTATCGGTTAACAAGGATGGGGTTATAGCAGATTTTGGGTAGCTTATTAATGGTAGATGGGTGTGGGACATCCAGATGAGGAGGAATTTGTTAGATTGGGAAGTGGATCTATGGATTGAACTAATTTCGTTATTGGACAAAGTTAGCGTTGGTGGGGGGGCGATGATGATTGTTGTGTTTGGAAAGGGAATGGGGAAGGAGTTTACTCGGTTAAATCGTGTATTAAAGTTGCTACAAATTTTTCTGTTCCGGATTTGTTATGGTCGAAGTTTGTTTGGGCTGGTTTTGCTCCTCCTAAAGTTGAAGCTTTTTTATGGAAGATTTTTCACCAGAAGATGACAGTTAAGTCTGCCCTAATTAGGCGCCCTGTAAACGGAATTGACGATCCTTTGTGCCTATTGTTTGGGTCGGAATTTGAGACTGTTTGTCATTTATTCTTCTCTTGCAGATCAGTTTGGGGTGTGTGGGTGTCGTTCTTGAGGATGTGGAACGCATGTTCAGCCTTGCCCAATAGTCCCAAGGATTTCTTTTTCTTTTGGGCTGATTTAATTCCGAATTCTGAGATTTGGAAATTTATTCTGGGTGCTGTTATGTGGTCCGTTTGGAAATGTAGGAATCAAATGGTATTTGAAAATGGAAGTTTGGAAATGTGGCCAGGGCTGTGGGCTGTTGTTGGAGGTGCAGTGGTATCGGTGGGTTGCTTAGGGATGCTGAAGGTAAGCAGATGGGGTCTTTCTCGGTTGCGTCTGGAACTGGTCCTCCGGTCCTTGCTGAACACTAAGCAATCCAAGCAGGGTTGAAGATGTTTTTAGATTCGAAGTGGAGAGATAAGGGGCGTCTCATTTTGGAGAGTGATTCTTTGGTAGCTGTGAATTGGATTAAAAACCCTGAAGATAGTCCTGTTGTGTTTAGCATTATGGTTAAGGAATTAGCCAAGTTTGTGCTGGATGCTATTTTGATGTTATGGTTTGTTAAGAGAAGTATTAATTGGGACGCTGTAGGTTTAGCTAAGGCGGGTATTGGGTAATGTTTGATGTGTTTTGTTGTTTTCGGTTTTTGATTGGTTTGTAAGTTATCCTTTGAGGGGAGAGGTGTTGGTTTATGAGAAAGGTTGTAATCTAGGGGGGGTTTTACCTAGGTTGTACTCTATGTTTCTATTAATAAAATGTGGGTACTCTTTTCCTCCTTCCAATGTCCGTTAAGATACCTTGTAGCTTAACGGTTATGAAGGGGTTTTTTAACGAGGCCTTCTTATAAAAAAAGAGTAACTTCTTCAATTTGCATACCTGTGTGTTGCCATTTGTCCCTTCAAAATATGGAGGCAGATCCATGTAGAACTCATCATCAAGTTCTCCAGTCCATTGAGAAAGGCATTTTTTACATCCATTTGATGCAGTGCCCAATACAGATTAGCTGCTAGCAATACTAACACTTAGCAATAGCATATAACTTTGCAATTGGGACAAATGTTTCTGTATGGTTTACCCCAACAGTTGGTATTTTTTGCATCCATTTTGTCTCAGTTTCTTTGATGATGGTCATTCTTTGTGCATGCTGCTCAGGGCTGCAGTTGAACAGAAAAAGGCGGAGGAGCAGAAAGATTTTGGACCAATTGACTATGATGCACCTGTTGAACCAGAGAAGAAAACAATTGATCTTGGTACTAAGGTTGGAACATCACAGTTATTTTTTTTATTTTTTCCTCATCTTGAGCTGCCCCCTTCTTTTCCTAACAGATTGGAGTAGGAATAGCTGTTGTGGTCTTTGGGCTGGTTTTTACTCTTGGAGACTTTCTTCCTGGAAGGTGTGTTTAGAACATTAAATGTTTCTCTCTTCATTGTAAATCTAAGAATAATAGACCTGGGATTTCATTTCCCAGTCCACCATATTTACTATCTTTGTTCTAGGCTTCTAGCCTGCAAAAACGTAAAGTTTATCCTTAATTACTCTGTAGGTACATCCATATGTTTCCTAGGTGCTATTTACTATTGAGTTGAAGTCTAGCATGTTTCCTAAGCCATTTTTGCTGTGCCTTTTTTGCATAAAATGTGTCTGTGAACTGTCATCAAGGCAAAAGGTTTCCCTACCTTGCCAAAGGAAGTTGATTTTCATGTGAGCAATGAAAATGTTTGAAGTTTATTGTATGTCTGTGTATTTGAAGTACATGTTATGTAAGCTTTATTTATTTATTTATTTTATTTGTTTGTTTGTTTCTTATTTTTTCTCTTTCTTTTTACTTAATTAGTACTGTCTGTCTATGTTAAGGAATTATCATATCTTGACATGACTCTCCAGTGTTAATCCACCAGAGGAAGCTGCAGTGATTGACAAGAAACTGTCACAAGAACAGAAAGATACTCTTGAGGTATCGATAGTGGAACATCCTTAAGTTTAGGAATTTCTTGCTACAGATGAATCTGATAAATTGTTTTTTATGATCTATCTTCTGGATAGCTCAATGTTTATCTGAGAGGATAAAAAAATACTTAGTGATCTGTATGATCTCATGGACAAGTGTGTGCTTTCATCCTTGATTTTCTTCATATATTTGTAATAATAAATTAATAATTTAAAAGATCATAGAGATGCATTTTTTCAGACATTTTAACACACTGCTTGCTTCTGCTTTCTGCCTTGAGACAGAGAAGAAAAAATTGGCTTATTTAAGTGCCTCTATTATTAATTTTGTATTGTTATTATTATTAGTTTTTTTGCAAGTATTGACTCAATGGTTCTTCTTCTTCTTATGATTATTATTATCATCATTTAAATTTTTTCATTAATCATCTAATGTTGTAATCTACGAGAATATATCAAGAGAGAAGGAAAGAATAATGGAGTTAACGCTATCCTATCAAAAAAAATAATGGAGTTAACGCTAGGAAAAATATAACTTTTGAAGTAGGAGACTACAAGAGTTTAAATAGACTGAGTAGCTAAAAACCTTTTCTGGAGTGAGAGAAGTTCCCGCTTCTCTCTAGGGCCCAGGTGTTTTTAAATTTAAAAGTGTTGTCTCATTCGTCTGTTGCCCGCTGGCCGCTGCCGCCGCCCGCCGTCTGCTGCCGCCGTCCGCCGCCACACTCTGACCACCGTTTGACGCCGCTTTTTCCTAGGATGGTCGTCTGCTCACGGTGAATACAGATCTGGACTTGCATTTGCGAAAAACGCTGTCTTTAGTCGCAGATCTACACTCGTCCTTTGCAGATTTTCGAAGCCTCCAGCCGTCCGAGTTCGCCTCCGCCACTCAACCCAGCGCAGTGCCTAAACGTGACCTAATCCCGTCTTCTCTTGTGTCGAGCAGTGGTGTACAGCTGAGTATTCACCATGGAACCCATCCAACGTCTCAACCCAGCCAACTTCGAGGGTTTGACTCAGCTGGTGCGGTGGCTGCTTCCTCCGTGAGGCCTCCTATTGTTCCTCCTTCATCGTCTAGGAGTTCTCATCTCCCGCTTGAACCAGACTGCCGTGTTGCAGTTGGTGATATCCCCCTGGAGTCTGCCAAGGAATTAGAAGCGAAAGTGAAGGCTCTTAAAGCATTAGTGGCAGAGTTGAATAAGCGGGTTAACGATTTAAAAATGAAGGAAAATGCAGTTCCACGAGGCAGTCTTCTCAAGAAATCTGGATCCGCTGGTGCAGCCTCTTCATCTTACTCCGGTAAGGACAATCGTAAAATTGAGAATGAAAAGGAGAGGACAAGGTTACGGAAACCGCAAAGAAGAGTTTTTACCAGACGCTTGTTGGCCGGATTGAGACAGTTTGGTAACTTCTCTATTCCACCGAATGCTGCTAAGAACGATGTTTTGGCAGCCTTGGCACGTGAGGCGGGTTGGATAGTTGAGTCCGACGGCACCACTTACAGACACTCTCCTTCAACCCAAAATCAACAAAATTCGGGATCATTTTCGGCGAGGTCGGGTGAAAATCCACTATCATCCAGTCCTTTGAAGAAATGCTCACAAGAAGGGAAACATAGGAACGGAAAGCTGTCTTTTGTTCATGCAACACCAACGCTTCCAGTCGCTAATGTTGATCATGGTGGAGCCAAGGAGATCTATTCGAAAGGGTATTCCGATGCAAAATTTTCCGAAGTGGTGGGAAGAAGAAGAAATGGGTTTTATAATCGGTCGAAAGAAGGCCAACCAGATTTTCGCAATGGGTCCATAAAGGATTGTTACACGATTTTTATCGAAAACCTTCCAGAGAAGATCCATTGGAAGAAACTTGGATCCATATTTGGCTCACATGGTCAAGTTATTGATGCCTTCATTCCCAAAAAAAGAAACTCGAATGGGGTTCGTTTTGGGTTTATTCGCTTTGCTACAATTGAAGAAGCAAGGACATCGATTTCTAAGATGAATGGTTATCATATTTACGGCAACAAAATTAGAGTCTCTTTGGCTAAACATAAACCCCGACAGTCTTACTGGCGAAAGTCCTCGAAAGTTGTTCATAGTAAGTCGGGGCTGGAAGTTTTTCCGACAATTAAACACTGTGAAGTTGAGGGTGTTGTGGACGCAGATAAACTTCATGTGTTGTCTAACTGTCTTGTGGGGTGGTGCAAGAACTTTATCAAGATTGGTAATCTTGCTAACCAAATACAAGCCAAAGGACTAGCGGGTTTCACGCTTATGAGAGCTGCTGGAAATGTAGTTCTAATGGTTTTTGAAGATTCTAATTCGTTGAGATGCGTGAAGGATGAAAAGTTAGAAACTCTTGCAGAATGGTTTTCCAGAGTGGAAACTTGGTCTGAGAGCCTTGTGGTGGAGAGCCGGCGCGTTTGGCTAGTTTGCGAAGGTATTCCTTTTCACGCTTGGAATTGGGATACTTTCAAAAACATAGCTACTAAGTGGGGCAAGTTAATAGCAATCGATAACAGTTGTGAGTTCCCTTCGTCTTTTGATCGGGCTAAAATCCAAATACTCACAAACGCTCAAGTGAGAATTAATGAGTTGTTGGAGTTGAAGGTCGGGGATCATTTATTCAAAATCTTGGTGCATGAAGTTGATCCTTCCTTCAAACCTAATTCTTGGGTTCCTGAAGATTGCGATATTTCTTTAGATCTTGATCCTCCAATTGGGTTGTGATTGTTCGGCTGCTGTATTCAGAGGCGTTTTTAAGTTTGTGGTTGTAATTGTTGGTTTTTTGTTGTTGTTATGTTATCTTACATCTTGAGGTGATTTAGGGGCTTTTTGGTTGACGATGTAAGATTTCTAGGTGATATGGGTTGTATTGGTGTTTATTCCCGTATGTGGGTTTGGTGTTACCTCATGTACTTAGTATTATATTTAATAAAATATGAGGCACTCTTTTCTCCCTTCCTTGTTCTTCAACATACTTCTAAGTATGTGGAAGAATACGAAGGGAGTTTTTAATGAGACCTCCAACTTCTATCAAAAAAAAATAGACTGAGTAGCTGACTTCTAATATGATATGACAAGATAAACTTCTATCTAGATTACAAAGACTCATAAGACTTAACTTTCTTATCATAAAAAACTCCTAAACAAATGAGACAACTACTACTACAACTACTACACGGCTGCTTCTGACATTTAGTATGACATTTTGGTGTGATCAGTTTCTTTTTGTAGTCTCTTTGATGTTTTATCATGGAAATATTTAACTCATTGCTATTATACATGGCAGGTTAGACTGAAACAGTTTGAGGCTACCCTAAGTGCCTCCCCAAAAGATGCAACTGCACTTGAAGTGAGTCTGAGAATATGTTGTGTTTAATTTTTCTCTGATAACATTAGCCGCTATTCTTGGATTACTACTTTCTTCTCAAGATGACTCACTTCACAAATTTCTTTTTCATTTTTACGTTTTTGTTTTCCTTATCTTAGTTAACTCTGAAAAGTTGAATTTTAGAAAGTGTTATTAATTAAAACCATTAAGGAAGTTGATGCAGAACAAGTCGGTAAAAATATTAGAGTTCTAGTGGGGAAAACAGAAATGGATAGAAGCACTTAGGAAGAAACTGGGACATCAAGGGAGAAGTTGATGAACTGGGGGAGAAAAGCCAAATTCAATCAATAGGCGAAGAACAATTACAATACTCACCATTCAATAAACTATCTAAACTGAAATAACCTAGTATATATATAACTAAACCCAAGACGTCATATAATGCAAAATACCAAATACAACCATAAAAACCTATTACTTGGAAAAGAAATAAAATCTGACTTATAAAAAGTAACCTAAATAAACTTAATATTTATAAAGATTCCATTCAAACCAGAACATTATAAAATAAAGTCTTATACTCACCTGCCTATTGCTCTTCCATTTAATGATTTGTTCTTCGATAAGAGTTTCATTGGTTTTTTTGGGTTAATTTCTGACTTTGGTGTGGTGATAGGCTTCCTCAAGCTTTGAGTCTCTGAATGCATTTTGAATGCCTCAGATTATGAACAAGCAGTAAATAATAGGATTAGTATTTTGTGTTATCGGGAAGTGGAAGATTGGCTACACAATAAGAAAAAGCTTTAAATATGCATGACAACAGATTTTCTGAAGCCAAATACTGATAGTTTTGTTTTAAATAGAGCTTCTCGAGTAGTTAAAGCTTGATCTTTCACGGTGTAAGCATAAAAAACTTATAATTTATTGAATCTGGTGACTGGTTTTAAAAGATATTATTGACTTTTGCATCTTTAACATACACATTATCTATCAATTTTAATGAGTGATTTATCATAATTCATCCAAGTTCGTCCTTTGGAGTTAAGAGACTTCTTACCAGTGACAACTATTATGATTACCCTGTTACATAATACTATAAAATGGTTTCAGCCTCGCTTTATACTATATTTTCCCCTTGACTTTCTGAATCAGCTTTTTGCACTCTTAGTAATTTGAGAATTGATGTCTACTTGTGTTACTTATTATATTTATAATTGGATGCTACACAGTGATTTCCTTTCTTCTTTCTTCTTTTGGATAAGAAGTGAATGACTTATTTTGGAATTTGCTTCCTGAATTCCCATCGAATGAGTTTACAGCTTTGCCAATGCTTTTCAACTGGAATAGTTTGCCAAAACTACTCTCCAAGGGGACACCTTAGCAGTTAGGACTTGCAACTTCAACTTGGACATCATAGGTTCAGTTTTAAAAACTTGATATGGGCAGGATGAGGGTTTATGGGATAGGGGAGGTTATCTGCCATAATGTAGCCTAAGATCAGATATACCAGGAAAAGAAAAACATTCTGCACACTAGAAATTATAAACGAGTAACCTTTTGATGATGTTCTGTCATTTGTCTCTAGGGACATCTATACATATATTGGTGTATATGCTATTATTAAATAGAAAAATGCTTGTCTACTCAGCATATATGAACCTGTGTCATCAATCTAAAATTTAAGAGGTCCTGCAGGGAGCAGCAGTTACGTTGACAGAATTAGGTGATTATGCACGAGCAGCTTCTATGCTTCAGGAGTTGGCCAAGGTTTGCTAATCTTGGATATACTATGCAATTTATGTGGTGTATGTTGCTCCAGTTTTTCTTTCTTTTTATTATTACAGAAAATCAACTAATGCTCTATGTTAACTTACTAACTAATATTCATATTCTATAGGAGAAAACTAGTGACCCTGAAGTTTTCCGTTTGCTTGGAGAAGTTAAATATGAACTTAGGGATTATGATGGCAGTGCTGCTGCTTATAAACTTTCTGATGCGGTAACTGTTCTCTATATGCTTTGGGAATTTTTCTGTTACTGTTTTTTAGTTCTAATACGGGGCTCATTTATTTGTTGAGTTAACGGCAAGCGTTAACTATGATATGAAACAATGCTTCTAACTAGCTAGCCCGTGGTACTTTTTCTTTTCTTCTCTCATTTGTTTGTTATGCAATAGAGTGCATGATAACCTTAACCCCATGATTGGATTGGAGTGGGGGAGGGGAAAGGATCATCCTTTCCTTTGTTTGGATATACATTTATATTTAAACAAGGAAAAGTAGGGGAAATTGAGTTTCCCTTGCTGTCCCATTGAGCTTGTTGCGTTTTGACGTCAAAACTGAAGGGTTACTAACATCATATTTGGTTCCTCTCAAGTCCTCTTAAAGTCCATGTCATAGGCAGACATGGGATTAGTTTCCCTCTCTGCGTGATAGAATGCTTTGCAAACTGCATAAATACGGGACACATTTCTGTAGCCAGGAAAACTTATACGTATGCTTCAAAGTTTTCATTTTGGCTTCCATAGACATGCTATAAAACCATTTAGCGGAGATAGAAAGAGAAGAAGGTTTGACATCACTTGCTTGCACTGATAAGGTGACATGAAACAGAATGAACCTTATTGTTCCCTTTAAATCCAAACTTGAGCATGACTTTCCCCAAATATTCTAAACCGAGGCCTAAATTATAGTTTTAGACAAGATATAGATTTCTTGAAATAACAAACTGAAAGACTACCCTATCAAAAAGTCCAAGTGGCTGTTTCATGATTTCTTTCTTTTTCTAGGGTTCATAAAAGCAAGCATGCATGCTTTATGTATATAGACAATACAATGGGCATGCTTTAGCCTTTATGTATATAGACAATACAATGGGCAATTCAAGGTGCTTGCTAGAAATATGTGGAACAAGCCAAGGGTCTTTGTTGGAGGAAAGAATTTTTTTTTATAGAAACAGGGCCTCATTAATAACCCCTTCATAACCATTAAGCTCCTAGAAACTCAATGATCATAGGAAGGAGGAAAAGAGCGCCCAAAGATTTATTACTATAGCAATAGATACAACTAGTTCAGAACATAGAATACAACATAAAACCCCTTTAAACCAACCCCAAAGACAACCACCAAATACAAACAAAACACAAGCCCTTGTGCTATCCTATGCCTGATTTAGCTAAACGATCAGCTTCCACATTTATACGTCTGTTAACAAGCCTAGTAGTTACATTGAACTGACTAACTAACTTGGCTATAACTCTGACCGCTTGAACATAAAGATCTGGACATGTCTCCGGATTGGAAATCCACTTTAGTGCATTATAAGAATCACTCTCTAGAATTAGACTTCCTTTATCCCTCCAAACCGATTTCAAAAACAAATCTAACCCAGAATGAATAGCTTTTAACTCAGCAAGGATTGGGGGCCTAGTCCAGTCGATCTTGAGAAAAACTCCAACCTTTTACAATCAGCATCTCTTAGCACACCACCAATAACACTGCATCTCCAGTCAAAATTAACTGCCCCATCAACATTAAGTTTTAAAAAACCCGGGGGTGGGGGACACCACTTAGACTCGAACATAACAGACCTCGAAAGAATACGATGCTGACCAACCAAAGTTAAGTCTCCTACGAGGTAATCCAAAGGGATAGAAATATTAGAATACTTAGCCAAGAATCATGAAGCCACCGTATACCTGACCAAAAAAAAGAGCTTAACTTTATCCAACCTACCCTTCTCAAACACAATGTCATTTCTACATTTCCACACAGTCCACAAAACAGCACCTGACACAAATTTCCAGATTTCCGAATGATGAACTAAATCCAACCAGAAAAACATAAAACTTCCGGGAGTATTAGGTAAAACAGAATATAAATTCCACATTTGAAGAAACCTCACCCAAATCCCCCAAACAACTTTACATTCAAAGAACAAATGGCACACCGACTCAGTATCCTCACCACAAACCGAACAGGAAGAATCCTCAATACCTCTAATACCCTGCCTCAATAAGGCAGTTTTAACTGCCAACTTCTGGTGGAGAACCTGCCAAATAAACACCTCTATTTTTGGAGGCATTAAACCAGTCCAAACTATCTTAGACCAACACAACTCCGGAGATGACAAGGCAGAGATTAAATTAGTACAATATTTAACTGAATAAATACCTTCCCCGTTACCCTTCCAAATGTAGCAATCATCCACCTCCGAGTCAATACGAACATTTTCCAGCAGAAGAAACAATTCATACCTTAATGCAAACTCACTCTCCATCAAGTTTCTTCTCAATTGAATGTCCCAAACCCACCTCCCATTGCTAAAACTTCCGTAGTTCGCAATTACCCCATCCTTTTTGACTGACAAAGCGAACAACCTTGGATATTTAAACTTCAACGGTGAATTACATAACCAACTATCATGCCAAAACAAAATTGATTCTCCCTCCCCACTTGTAAAATAAGATGATTACGAAAACACAAACCAAAAGCATCATTCGACCGATAGTTGTTAATGACTCCTTTCCACAGCCAAGATGCAAGGGAGGATGTATAATTGTCCATCGCAATAGATCTTCTATCTAAATTATACTTACAACAAACCAACCTCTTCCACCAAGACTCCTTCTCACTACTAAACTTACACACCCATTTTCCCAAAAGAGCCCTATTCCTCAAATTTAAATCGGTGATATCCAAACCCCCAAAATCTTTCTTTCTACAAACTATCGACCATTTCACCCAGTGTATCCGATTTTTCTGAGCAGTACAACCCCACAAAAAATTTGCCATTAGAGCTTCCAACTTTCTCCGAATTCCAACCGACATTTTGAATAAGGACATATAATAGTTTGGTAGCGAATTCAAGACTGATTTAACTAGAACAGCCCTTCCCGCAAGGGATAAAGTTCCTGTTTTCCACCCAGCCAGCTTGTGAAAAAAGTTCTTGACAATTGGTTCCCAAAGGGTAACCGAATTTCTACTTGCACTCAAAGGAAGCCCTAGATACTCCGTCAAAACAACACCCAATAGAGCTTGCCCACTCTGACTATATTATCATCCACATTTATGCCATAAATCTTACTCTTCGAAAGATTCAACTTCAAACCAGTGCACAATTCAAAGATAACCAAAATTCTCTTTAAGTTCTTCAATTGAGCTTCTGAAGCTTTGCAAAAAATTATCAAATCATCAGCAAATTGAAAATGAGATAGTGAGAAAGAATTATTGTCACATCCAATCTGAAAACCATCAAACAACCCTAACTCAACTGCTTTAGAAAGCAGAAGATTAAGAAATTCAGCCCCTAAATTGAACAAAAGCGGTGATAATGAACAACCTTGGCGTAAACCCGTGAAACTTTAAAACTTTCTGTGGGAGAGCCATTCACTAAAACTGAAATGGAAGTTGAAGATAAACACTCTAGAACCCAAGACCGCCATCTCTGACCAAACCCCATGTACTCCATAATTGAGTAAGATTTCCCAATCCAAAGTATCATAGGCTTTATTAAAATCCACTTTGAACACTAAACCTTTCCTCCCTTTCCTCCAATAGTCAATGCCTTCATTAGCAATGGAGCAATCACAAATTTGTCTACCAGGAATGAATGCAAACTATGAATGACCAATCAACATGTCTATGTACAACCTTAATCTTTTTTAAAGAACTTTAGACAGAATTTTGTACAAACCCCCTACCAAACTAATAGGCCTATAATCCTCTATTCCAACCGAGTTCGGTTTCTTCGGAATTAACGTAATAAAAGAGTGATTCACGCCTTTGCTAAGTTTCTTCCCCTTATAGAACCCCTTAAAAAACTCCATAATTTCATTTTTCAAAACCGGCCAAAATCTCTTAGAGAATCCCATATTCAACCCATCCGGCCCCGGAACCTTATTACTATCCGAAGAGGCGATTGCCTTCCAAATTTCATCTTCCGAAAAATTCCTTTCCAAACCATCTCTCTGCTCCTCGAAAAGTCTTCTGAAATTAAGTTCCAAATATTCCACCTCCAAAGTAGGCTTACAATTATATGCTTTCTTGAAATAAAGAAAGATATGGGATTTTATTAAATTTGGATCCAAAGTCTGAGTACCATCCACTTCCAGCGACTTTAAAGCATTAACTCTACCTCTGTTCGATGCACACTGGTGGAAATATTTTGTGTTTCGATCACCATCCCGTATCCAAATCGCCCTCGATTTTTGAAACCAAATAAGTTCATCATTTTTACAAAGACCAAAGTTCTCTCTTATCTCTTACAATGTCCTCCATTGAAACCATTGGATTCCCACTTTGAACTTCTGCTTCCCGAACAGAAATTAACTTCTCCAACTTCTCAATGAACTTCTCAAAAAATATAACTTGACTGTAGCATGTAGCAACTAGGCAAACATCTCCAGTTTACGCTCTGAGTTAACTTCCACTGAAATATCTATTCTCAACCATCTATGTATGCTTCAAAGAGTGCATTTTGGCTTCCATAGCTTCTCATTAACTGGAAATGGAAATGCTTCAATAAAAGGGTTGGGAATAAATAATATTTCGGAGAGGTACAAAAGATCGTGATATAAAATTTTGGATAAACTGTTTGCCTTCACAAAGAGCAATAGGGAGTTAAATTAGTGGGCCGAGAAAGAGACTGGCATTGTGGTTTGATTCTAATGCTTCCTCTACTGTTTCAACTTTATCTATGAAATCATTTTATGGATCAAGACTGGTGATCTTCGGGCCTTCGTAGTTCCTACTCATGCTTTAACATGTTTGTGGATCCAACTCTAATTATGCTTTATTCTAGAGCTAGTTAGAGGAGTGCATATTGTCCTATATGATTCAACTTGAGTCTAAATTATTCATCCCTTTTTCTCACATTGGTTGTATAATGCAAAATTCAGTTGACTTATGAAGCCCTGAATGAAATGTACAACAATATTTTCCTTTACATGTATTGATTCTCTCTTTCTTGGTTAATCAAAATGTGTTTTTACTCCATGAATACTTTATTCTTCATAATAGGTGTCCAAAGATGTCGACTTTGAGGTTTTACGTGGCCTTACAAATGCATTGATTGCTGCTAAAAGGCCATATGAGGTAAGTATCTGGCTAAGTTCTGAAATAATTGTTTACTTGTTGCTTTGGTACCCAGCCTTGTCTGGGTAATAGGACTGGCTGATTTTTTGGTTATCATCTTCATTTAGCGATGTAATATGGTATTCAGGATATAATATGATGGCTGATCACTGTAACAATTTTTTATTCGGTTTCACTACTGTAAATTGATTCAAAATGTTGGTTTATAAGGATGCTTCCCACTTTTGGTTTAGAATATCATAACAGACCCCATTAAATTACACGACATGCAGTTTGATCTTGTTGAATAAGAAACCACTTAGTTCTCCTGTTCCAGAAAATTAACATGTCAATTTTTTTAGGGCCAGTGAAACCTCAAATTAATGATGTGTAGTAGATTAGTATGAGCTGTGTGGGTTTATGTTTACTAGTAGAGAGGGCTTCCAATTGTCTGCTTAAGCGCATGAAAATGGGATGTCTAGATATTTGAGGGACTCAATTGTATCTAGACAAGTGTCAACTGTTCACTGACTATTAATGTCTTTATCCCATCCTATCCTGCTTTTCCTTGTGTGGGTTTATCTTTTTTTTACCTGTTTTTTAACATTTAGATATAATCTTTGTCAATTATTTTAAGTTAGCAGTATTTGTGTCATATATACATTTGTTATTATACAGAGTTCTTTATAAATTTCTTTTCTTTTGTTTTCCTAGCATCTCTCTTCTCTTCTCCTGTCTCTTTTTCACTATCATTTCTTTCCCTCGTTCTTCGTTATCTAGTCTTCTTTCCTCTTGTGATCCATCTTATGCTCTTTGAAACATGTTTTTGAGTTTGGGATTTTATGTCGGAGCCATCTTTGAGAGCGTATCTTTTGCAATGCATCTAATTAGTGATTTAGTGCTGTGGTGGAATTTTTGGTTCAGTACAGTAGTATCCTGGGAGCCATTGTACTAGTAGTGAAAATTTATTTTTGTCTCCTGAAAAATGCTACAAACCAGTCCTTACACATTAAAAAATGGTGCAAACGAGGAATTTTTTTAACCCATTAGAAATTTTACGTTAAATGGATCCTGTGTATTGTTAGGTGATAACTTTGTATTTTTTTCTTATAAGGTGGCATGCACATGTTGACTTTTTTTTAGAATATGGACTATTCTGTCATATATGACACATCCTTAAAATATATATATAAAGAATTCAAAAATAAAAATATTATATAAAATTTAAAAATAATTAAAAAACTCGATTTAAAAAAATCCTAAAACATTCTAAAAATTCAAAACAGAGTTCCAAAATATTGGAAAAACAAAAAATTACTAAGAACTTAAAATTTGTTTTGCAGATAGATTTGGTTACTGTTCAGTTTATATTATGGATGGTTTCTCAACATAAAAGTAAAGCAAATTTCTTTTTGGGGTCTGGATGGAATTTAAAAGTCAAGAAACTAGTATTCGGGAAAGTAATACGCATGCTATAATTTTAATCTTTATACTGCATATGTTTAAATACCGTCATGTATATGCAGGCTGTTCAATACCTTCTGTCCTCTCGTGAACGCCTGAATATGGAAAGGTCAACTCGTCCTAATTTCAAGGCTGACAGCAGTAATATGGAAACAGAGCCACAGAATCTGGACCCTATTCAGGTCAGTTGGCCTCATCATAATCAATTGCATATCTAGCAAAGCATAATGAGTATTTTTGTTCTTGAAGTTTTTTTTTAGCAAAATGGAGATATATATGCTGTTTAATTATTAGTTACTGGTTAACTTTTCTGTGGACTGAAGATAAATATCTTTTCTGCTCATTCCATTTTTGGGTTTATGTACCCGGTTAATGGAATGGAATGGTTTTTTTTTTGAAAGAAAATATTATTTTATTACTAGGAATAAAAAGCATTGCCCGGGGTCTCGTTGAAAAACCTCCCTAAACGTAAATAAAGAAAAAAGAGTGTACGCAAGCAATGACCACAAGAACAGACAACCACCACCAAATTCAACCATAAACCCATCCGGAAAACACCAAACAAAAGCAAAAAACAAACCAACACACTAATGCACTACTCATCCAGAAATGGAACCAAAAGCTAACTTGGCCAAATGATCAGCTGCCAAATTACGATTGCGAGGAACATGTCTCATGAGGAAGTTTACACTATTAAACATTGCAGCAATCAGCCGAAGAATCGACGCCCATTCCATGGGAATATAGAACTCGGATCCCTTATCCAATTTACCACCCCTTCACAATCGCACTCTAAAATAAGATCCGCTGTCGAGTTACATGCAGAATCCGTATACAAATTAACTACATACTTCGCAGCTAAGATTTCAGCCAACAACGGGGATCCCCCACCAATTGGAACCGAGAAAGATACCAAGGTAGCACCACTGGAATCTCTAAGGATTCCCCCAATACCTCCACCGCTACCGTCGATCCGCATCGACCCATCCACATTGAACTTCACAAAACCTTTCGGAGGTGGGATCCAAACCAAAGGAGGTGTAGCAGATTTTTTCAGAAGATGAGCATCTTTTGCAATCAAGAGATCATTAGCCAGGTTTTCCACAGTAAAAGGAGACTAAGGAAACTTGGCCGACAACCAGCAGGCTGCTCTATACTTAACTAGGAAGACCAATTGAAACCAATCAAACTTCTTTCCATGAAAACCCACTTCATTTTTAAGAAGCCAAGTAGACCAAATAATAGCAAATGGCAAAACACCCCATATTATTTTATATAGCAGAATAGATGGAAGGGACTCACACCACACCTGCAGAAAATTGACAGGCTCTAAAGGGAAGGCCACAGAGATACCCCAAAGATTTAAAAAATTCCCCAAACTCTCCAAACAGCCATGCAAGAAAGAAAAGATGATCAATTGACTCCGGAATGTCTGAACATATTAGGTAGCTACATCCTGAACCACAACCCATCTCTTCTCGAGTTCCACTCTAACCGAAACTCTACGACGAAGAACCCACCATAGAAAAACTTCTACTCTAAAAGGGGCATTCCCATCCAGACATGTCTCCTCCAATTAAAACCTGCCCGCTCCCTATCAAATGCTAGATTCGACACTGGTTTAACCGAATAAACTCCATCAGACAAACCCAACCATTTAACCCAATCCGACCGAGAAGCTGAGCTTACAAAACTTTCAAGCAAACGCAGCAAGCCTTCCCATTGCAATCTTTCCCAATCAAAAACCTCCCTCCTAAGAAAAATATTTCAACTCCACCCTACTTCATTCTTAACACCAAAATCGGATATTGGACCCTTCTTGTTAATCGCAAGAGCAAATATCCTCGGAAACAACTCTTGAATTGGTCGATTACCTAATCACTTATCTTGCCAGAACCTGATGCCTTTCCCATCTCTCACCTGGATTTGAAATAAATCGATTAGGCCATTGTCTCCTCCACCCCTTATATAAGTAGCAAAAATCCCGCGCTGTATCCATGAAGCTCCATGAGAGAGCGATCGAGGAGGGAGTAAAGCATTCAGATCTAGACTGTACTTTGCCGAGGCACAAGTTTCCATGGAGTCGACTTTTTGTTATAAAATCGCCAGCACCACTTACCAAGGAAACCGAAAATTTTCCGTCTAAGGTCAACGAATCCTATACCACCAAAGTCCACTGGTTTACAAACTTCAGCCCAACTAACCCAATGGATGGTCTTCTTGTCTTGAGAACCACCCCACAGAAACCTCGCAAACAAACCATTAAGCTTCTTATATACCGAAACGGGTAATCTAAAAAGAGACAAAAAATAAGAGGGCAAATTAGATAGCACATATTTTATCAAAGCAATTCGCCCTCAAAGGATAAGGAAACTGACTTCCATCCCGCAAGTCTGTTTTGCACTTTCTCTATCACAGGTTCCCAAAGCCTAGCCGAATTCCGAACAGCTCCAAGCGGAAGGCATAAGTACGTAGACGGAAACGATCCTACAGCGCAACCGATAGAGTTCGCCTAACTTGTAACCGGTTCTTCTTCAATCTTCACCCTAAATACAATACATTTTTTTTCAGATTTAGCTCGAGACCCGAGGCAAGCTAAAAAATTCGGAGAACTCTTTTTGCATTCTTCAATTGAGTTTCTGAGGCACCAATGAACAGAATTAAATCATCGGCATATTGAAGATGAGACACCATAACTACCGAAGGACCTCTTCCTACTACACAACCCGACAGAAACCCAACCTGTACTGCTTTTTGTAGCATCAGATTTAATGCTTCTCCTACAAGATTAAAAAGTAGGGGAGAAAGGGGGCAACCCTGGCGAAGGTTCGCGAGCTAATTGGAAACTCTCCGTAGGGGAACCGTTAACCAGCACCGAAATAGATGCCGAGGAAATGCAAGCCAAAACCCATTTATTCCACCTCGACCCAAAACCCATTTCTTTTAAGACCTTCATAAGGAAACCACACTCAACCATATCGTAAGCCTTCCTAAAATCAGTTTTAAAAACAATTCCCGGTCGACCATTCTTCTTGCTCCAATCAATAACCTCATTAGCAATCAAGGTGCAATCTAAGATTTGCCTTCCCGGGATAAAAGTGAACTGAGAAGAACCCACCAAAATATCCAGCACCGATCGAAGATGGTTAGCTAACACCTTACTCAGCAATTTTTACACCCCTCCGACTAAACTAATTGGTCTGAACTCCTCCAAAGATTGAGGATTTAATTTCTTCGGAATCAAAGCGATGAAAGACTGATTTAGGCGCGAATCTATCTCCCCAGAGTTAAAAAACTCATTAAAAAGCTCAGGATTCAGACCTTCAAATCCGGCTAGAATTTCTTACAAAAAATTAAGATTGAAGCCATCCGGCTCCGGGGCACGATTACCATCTGAGCTTTCCAAAGCTTGACATGTTTCCTTCTCAGAAAACCTTTTCTTCAACCAACAGCATTGTTCAGCGCCTAACTTCGGAAAGGGCATAATCATCTCGTCAACTTTCAACGCAACCTTCTTATTATAGACACTTCGAAAATATGAATGGATCATTCTTTTCAAGCCAGCCTAGTCATCGATCATCCTCCCATCCTGAGCCAGCGAAAGTGTCGAGTTACACCGCCTCCTAGTAGAAGCAAAGTTGTGGAAAAAACTAGTGTTCCGATCACCCTTCACCACCCATCTCACCCTCAATTTCTGTAGCCAAGATCTTTCCTCCTTCCTATATTCCTCCCAAAGCCTACATTTTAGGCTTCTTAATTCTGCCATAACAATATGAATTCCCCATTTGCCTGCAAATCCAATTCAACCTTACTGATTTCTTGTTCTAGTTCCTCAATTCGAGACTTAAAGTGAAAGGATTGCTTCTTCGACCAGCCTATCGTAGCCGCTCTCGAAGCAAACAATAGCTTAGCAATCCTCTTGCTACCATTATCAGAAGCTACCTCTTTAATTGCATCCTTAACGACATAGGCAAAACTGCTATCCTCCAACCAAAAGTTAAAGCAACAAAAAGGTTTTCGGCCCCAATTGATCTTAACCTCTTCTAACTCTACAACATTGTGATCCGATAACGATTTCGGCAGTAACTTCTGGTAGATCAAAGGGAAAATTGCTAAAAAATCATTTGAGACAAGAAAACGATCCAACCTCACATTCGTCACTTTGTCCTATTACTGGACCAACTGAAAGAACCCCTACCAAAGGCAAGTCAACCATGCTAAACAAAACTCCTAAAAAAGCCAATTACCCTTAGATTTATGGAGACTCCGAGTTTCTTCTCAGGATGAAGAAATGCTTTAAAATCCCACCACACACCACGAAATTGAATTGTTAGTAATTAAATCAGTCAGATCGCTAAAAAAACTCCTCCTCCTCCCCTTCAACTGAAGATCCATAAACATTTAGAAATCCGTATCTAGAAAACTTCCCCGAAATTGATCCGATCATAGCAACATACCTTCTATTAACGATTCTAGATGCCTCCACAAAAAATTTCGAATCCCAAATTCAAAGGAGACCTCCTGCTGTACCTTCTGCCGAACTACAAACCCATTCCAAGTCCCCTGAACCCCAAAGCCTCCTACAAATAGACACAAACCCCAGTCAACTTTGTTTCCTGGACGAAAACCATCTTGCTTTAGTCTTACGAATTAATTTATTCACAGCACTTATCTTTTCCACCCTACCGAACCCTCTGATGTTCCAAGTGACTATTGTGAAATCCATTTAAACCAAAACAGAAACCTCAGACCACACGCCTCTCTCACAATCACAACACCCGATTGAGCGCCTCCTCCAGAGCCCTTACTTTTCCCGACACTGCCTCTTTGCCACCTTTGAAAGAAACTTGCAACAAATTACTCACTTGCCATACCACTTCAACCTTCTCGCGAATCTCATCATCAGACCCTTTCTCGCGCACTACCGGCCTGGTTCATCCACTTCTTCAAGAGATTCAATAACAAGTCTTCTAACCACTCTTCTTGTCATATCTCTTGACCCCAGCGCACCCCTTCTCTTAGAAATCAGAAGCGACTCCGAAACTACAAGAGAAAAATTCAGATTTGAGTTTAAAAAGAGAAGACTTTCTGGAACACTCTCAACAGAACCCGAACACTGCTTTTGAGTTGCCTCCTCTCCCAAAAAATTAACATTTCCTTTGGGCCCATTAAATTCAGCAGCATTAACATTCATAACAGCCAATTTCAATCTATCAACTTCATCATCATTCAGATCCACAATATCATTATAATTACGGGGCCCAGATAAGGAAACACACCTGTCTTTAGGCCCATCAGCCCAAGGGTTAGAATCCACCTCAGCTAGCAATATCTGACCATCGTTTAATTCTTTTCCACAATACTCGCTTAAACTTTTGTAGCCGAAACCCCTACCTCACTGCCGACACCCACATTGAATTCTTGCATCCACCTTGCACGAACGAGTTATCATCCTCCTCGATTATGAGATCCGCCGTCGACATGCCTCCAACCTTTTTGGAGACCGAAGCGTCACCAACAAAAGCATCCTCTAGCCGAGCTTGACTCTTCGGTGACACAGCAACTCTCATCGGAGAACCGATCCCATTGCCGAAACCATTACCAGCGCCGGCGATAGCATGGCCAGAAAAATCTTATGGAGCCCAAACATCAGCGAACTTCCCATTTTCTTCCACAAACCCAGATTTCAAGAATCCACACTCGGCCTCAGTAACCTCCACTTTGATAATGAAATCTCTCCCTTTAGACCGGATTCTAATCGACTCTGGAATGTCGAACCTGTACGCCACCCTGACTACCATTCTTGCCAAAGAAAAATCCTCCCTTTCTCTCGTCGATTCCTCCAGTTCAACAAAAGATCCCCATTTGTTACCCAAGGTCGAAAATAAATTATGATGCCACAGATGCAGGGGAACTCCAATCAGGACACAAGAGTAGAAGGCTGAAGCAAATCCAGACTTGTCATGAAAGGGAGCAGTATGTTTGAACCAGTAATCTCATCCATCCTCCTTTCTTTCCACGCTTCCTCCAAATCCTCCACCGAACTAAACGTCAAAATACAAGAGTTCTTCGAATTTTCCCGTTTAGCAAGCTTGGCATGATACCCTCTTCTTCGAGAGCTATCTTCACTAGATCAAAATCAAAATTCTCATTCATTCCTACTAATGAACTCTTTATCCATTCCACCTCCTCTGAAGGAAACTAAAACTCCAAAACGTTGGAATCCTTTTCCCTTTCCTCTGCCTTTTGATCTTCTACGCTAAAGTCTGGAACAACCATTACTTTCGCTCCCTGGACTTCTTTGTGCGGTTCACCACTTGCCTCATTTTCTTTCCCTTGCAGAGCCTCTGCGTACGACCTAGAATCTATTTCTTTGGATATCCATACCTTTATGTTCTTTTGCTGATTCGCAAGCTCACTCTACTTCTCCTCTGAGCCCACCGTTCGATTAGCTTTTACACTCACCATAGACTGTCTAGGGAACATCGCTCTCGAGACCGAGACAGCTCTACCATCGATCTTAGCATTGTTCATTACTCTTATACCATTCTCCAAATCATTCTTCATAGCAAACCGAACAAAAGCAAAGTTGAAACCCTTGTACTTTGGATTCTTAATGTTTCTCGGAATGAAAGCTTGAACCACTCTCCCATGTTGATTGAAAACTTCCCTCAAAGCACCACTTGACACTCTTTTGTTGAGATTATCAACGAAAGCCGTCCACTGTTCGCCGGACTGATAGCCCCTGTCCCCAAAATATCTTTGATGGCCTTCACCCTTGGAACACTCTTTCTGACGCTCCACTCCTTGGACCTTTCATATTCTTGTCTTAAGATTGGCACTTATTTCCTCTCAACCTCACCACCAAAAGAAAATGACCTCACGTTAATCCTATAGACTACATTGATAATGTCCTCATGTGAAATTTATTATTGAAGACATTTTTTGGCATTATGTGATTTTAGAAAGATTGAGTCTGTCAAGCTCAAATAGACACTAGAATCAAATGACCTCACCTTAATCCTATAGACTACACTGATAATGACCTCATGTGAAATTTATTATTGATGACATTTTTTTTGAATGGAATGGTTTGGAAATGAACTTTACAATTGTTTGGCTGTTGGAAATGCTGCCATACTTTTAATGATGCCATACTTTTGATGGTATACTGCTTTTAACATAGCAACCTTTCTTGCTAAAGATTTGCCATCTTATTAATGATTCTTTAACGAAATGGCATACCACTTGTATTGCAAGATGTTACATGGCTTTTTTTCTTATATGTCCTACTTTAGAAAGTCTATTATGTCAGTGTATAATATATTTACGCTTTCATAAACACAGAAGGAAAACTTGAACACTTTGTGAATGGACAGCTTCTAGTCATTAATTATCCACTTTAAGTCAATTTCCAATATTGAAAGCTTATCTCCAGTCTTTTCTTTTAAAAATGCCAACTACAGTTAAAGTAGTGATATTTCATTCACATCGTATATTTCCAGGGTAAGTTCTGTAGTAATAGCACAGCATTCCAGAATAATACTCAAGAAAAAAGAAGTAAAATACAAATTACTAACAATACAAATTCAACTTGTTACATCCCCTTTGGGCTATGTCCACAAATCAATATATAGTCAACTAAAAGAAAATCCTGCAATTTGTAACTTTTGCACGGACAAAGCTACAAACCTTAGAAATATTATTTCGCACCATACAAAAACCTACAATACTTTAAAATATATACGGTTTCTCACAGCTACTTAATTATGAATGTTAATATCTAACAATTTCTTTTTTAAAAAGAATATCTAACAAATTGAAAAGTGGAAATTGGGCGGGTTGTTTTTTTTTTCCTGAAGATATAGGTTCCTTTAGATTATATTGGCTCCTATTGTTGACTTTTTAAGTTAATCCTGATTCAGTTCAACTATGTATTGGCATGTTGAGTCAAGTCAGTTTAGTTTGGGTCATTCACTTTAGACAACTTTGGGTGGATCGAATTTGTTGATAAGTAAGTTTCTTCTTGATGGCAACAATTATCATCCGATTCATCTTCTTGATGGTAACAAATATCATCTGATTCTTGGACTTTGTTTATGTGATGTCTCTCAGATTGATTTACTACTTGGAAAAGCCTATTCAGACTGGGGGCACATTAGTGATGCAGTAGCTGTTTACGACCAACTAATTTCTAGCCATCCAAATGACTTCCGAGGTTACTTAGCCAAGGTTCTATTTACTTTTCTCTCCTTTCCCTCTTGTTCATTTTCTTGAAATGTATTTCTTCATCATTCTTCAGCTATTCTAATTTTCCTTGTTTATTTCTTGCTGGTCTATAATTACGTTTTTAACATATAAAAATCATAAGATGATGGTAAGTGATGTACTTCTTATCTGATATTTCTTCAGGGAATTATTTTGAAAGAAAATGGCAATGCTGGGGGTGCAGAGAGGATGTTTATACAAGTGAGTATATCGTGTCTAATAGCTTACTTAAAACTTTTTTTTTTGACTCGGAATATGTCTGGTGTGCTCTTTTCTAAATCATGAACTAAGCAATGCAATTTTTTGACAAAATAAAAATTATACTCACTCAGCAAAAACTAAAAGGGTTCATTTAAGTCACTATCGTGTCCGTCTCAGGCTTGTTATGCATGCTTTACACATTTATGACCCGAAATTTGTGGTGTCATAAATATGTTGACACAATTTTAATACAGAACATGATTAAATGAAGCCCATTCATAACACCTCTTTGATATTGTTTTGTTGTGGATACATTACTATATCCATCTGAAGTGAGAGAAGCTCCAACTTCTCTCTAACCAGGCGTTTTCAAATTTCAAATTTCCAAGGGAGAGAGAAAATATGGGTGTCGTTTATACAGCCCTCACTACCGTCATCCATCATTAGTCTTCCACCTTCAGTCGCTTGTCGTCCGCCGTCCTCCGACCATCGTCCGCCGTCCTCCAACCACCGTTCGCCGTCTTCCGACCACCGTCCACCGCCGCACTCCGACATCCTTTTGACGCCGTTTTTCTCAAGGATATTCGTCTACCCACAACGTTTCCTTTTTCCTGGTTATTTTTGTTAGATTCCTTTTCAATCGGAGCAAATCTACTTGCCTTTCTTCGCCGTTCTTTTCCACCACCAGTTTCCCGAGTTTCGTTTTAATCGATCCACTGTACTCGTCGGATGCTCGTGACAAAAACCCAAGTTCTCTACTGTGAATAATCACTGCTGGTCAACGGATCTTCTTGAGAAAAACTTATTTTTCCAGATCGTAGTTATTGGCTCTGGGTTTTCACGTTTGGAGGCATATCTTACCTAGCATTTTACTTCTCTGATTTTTTCGTTCAAATCTGCATTCAGACAGTTTGTCAAGTCTCTAGGTGTTTTATTTCAACAGTCAGTCATCATGCCAAGTGCTGGAATCCTACCTTATCTCAAGATGAGACCTCCGGTTCAAGTTCCTTCACCCTCTGCAGCTGCGCATTCTCTGTCATCTCACCTTTCTCATCGTGATGAGGTTCGTACTATCTTCATTATGGGTCTGCCTGAAGATGTCAAAGAGAGAGAGTTGCAGAATTTTCTGAGATGACTTCCAGGTTTTGAAGATTCACATTTGAGCTTCAAGGGAGATAAGCCCAAGGGTTTCGCACTCTTCTCAACTGTTAAATTTGCAGTTGCTGCCAAGGATGCCCTTCAGAAAATAGTTTTTGACGCTAAGTTAAAGTCCTTCTTGCACATTGAGATGGCAAGGAAGAATCTTGTTGTTAAAAGAGTAGTTACAGATTCTGATTTTGACAAGTATGGAGGTTTTCCTGTTCCTCCAGTACTGTCATTGCCAATTCCAGCTTCTGTAGCATCTCCTAGTTTTCATGTGTCAGTTAAAGAAGTCTGTTGCGATGAAAAATCTGCAGTAAATGGTGTACACGAGGGATCCAGGGAGTCGATCACAAAGGGGTGCAGAGTTGACAAGTCTGGATGCTTCACGTTATTTGTTGAAAATTTACCAGAGAAGATTCATTGGGAGAGGTTTGGATCTCTTTTTTGCTCTCATGGTCGGGTACTTGATGTTTTTATTCCAACTAAAAGGAATTCAAAAGGAGTTCGCTTTGGTTTTATTCGCTTCGCATCAATCGAAGAAGCAAGGAGAGCAATCTCAAAAATGAATGGCTCTCGTATCGACGACAACAAAATTGGTGTTTCTTTCGCTAAATTCAAACCTCGACATTCCTATTGGAGAAAGTCCTCGACAGGTGTTCTTCGCAAGTCCGGGATGGAAGATGATTCGAGGATGAATCATTATAAAGTTGAAGGTGTTATAGATGAAGAAAAACTTCAGGTGTTGAGCAATTGTCTAGTCGGGTGGTGCAAGGACTTTGTCAAAATTGGTCATCTCGCTAGACAAATGCAAGCGAAGGGCCTCACTGGCTTCACCTTAATGAGAGCTGTTGGTAATGCGATTTTAATGATTTTCGAAGACAATGCTTCACTGAGAAGTGTAAAGAACGATAAATCAAAGATTCTCGCATAGTGGTTCTCCTTAGTCGAAGCTTGGTCAGAGAGTTTGGTAATGGAGTGTCGTCGAGTATGGTTAGTTTGCGAGGGTGTTCCTTTTCACACATGGAATTGGAATACTTTCAAGAACATTGCTGATAAGTGGGGTTTATTACTAGCTATCGACGAAAGTTGTCATTCTCCATCATCCTTTGATCGGGCAAAAATTCAAGTCCTCACAAAGGCTGATGCGAGAATTGATGCGATGGTGGAATTGAAGGTTGGTGACAACTTCTTCAAGGTCATGGTGCATGAGATAGAGCCTTCATTCAAACCAAACTCTTGGGCTCCTGAAGAAGACGAGTCTCATTAGATCTTGTTTCTTCAATTGTGGTTTTGTTTTAGTTCATATGGTTGTAGGTGTTGCTTTTAATTTGCATTATGTTCTGTTGCGTTATTTTATTCCTACTGTTGGTGGTGTAATTAGAAGTAAGGTGATTAGACTGTGGCTTTGTATGAGGTTATATGAGGTTAAGGTGTTTGTTGTAATGGTGTTCATCACCATGAGAGGATATTCCGTGGTGTCTTTTGTATCGGGTATTATTATCAATAAAATTTGAGGTACTCTTTTCTTCCTTCCAATGTTCGTTAACATACTTTAAGTATGTGAACGAATAAGAAGGGAGTTTTTAATGAGACCTCCAACTTCTATCAAAAAAAAAATATTGTTTTGTTGTGTCATTTATGTAGTAGAAAATTACAGTTATGTCTGTTGTTATGGTTTGTTGATGAATTTTGAACATCTTTTACAAAGATTTGAGACTTGAATTTTAAGAGTTTGAAATGAATATCATATTTGGAGGAAGTCTTTTTCCATTATTTTATGGGCAGAATTGCTGGAAATACAATGATTAATTTCTTTGGTTTAGGGTGACAATGAGTTCCAACCCAAAATTTCCCCAAAGATGCTGAATCTAAATTTGACCTCGCTTGGCTTCATTTAAAACAAAAACAAAAGGAAAGGTAACCTTAAATTACCTGGTCATCCAAATGTGAATCCCAACTCTAAAATCCTAAACCAACCTTGAGAACCATGCTCAAATGGTTACATCTTATAGAAAAGCTAAAAAATAATCCTTAATTAATTTGAACCCAAAACGAAACATACTTCAAATGGTTCGAACCCATCCTATTGCTACTTCTACAAGCGTTTCTCTTTGTTTCCTTATCATTGTCATGAGTAAAAGACAAGATGCTTATCTTCATTTGTGCATGTATGAAGCAAATTCTTTTTTAGCTAAAACCCTGGTGTCCTGCAGGCTCGATTTTTTGCCCCCGAGAAGGCTAAAGCACTCGTAGAGCGCTACTCAAGACGGTGAAAGTTTCGGTGACTACATGGGTATTCCTCACAAGCCTCTCTGATGTGAGTCAGCCACATTCTTTAAAGATGATTAATTATATGGTGATAATGTAGTTTTTCGTTTCAGTTTTGTCTCCGCTTTAGTTCCAAGAATATTGAAGTTTTCCCGTCAAATTCAATCGTAAGATCGGCACGTTTCGTTCTTTTATATCCACATGAACATTTCATTGGCAAAAAATGTAGCATAGGTGACAGCCACATTCATAGCAAATAGTAATGAACTCAAATCCGTTGTAGGGATGGTTTGCTTCAGGTTAGCTGCATAATCTGAACGATGACTGCATTTGGAATTGAATAATGTTGACTGTCGTGGAAAGATGCACTTCTGAAATACATTGTGTTCCATGATGATGTAATATTTAATTTGTAAAGAAATTTATGATGAAAACGTTGGAAAATTTTAAAACATTCCCCGTAAAATGATGGATGTCAAATCAAATAAATCACAATCATTTGTGTGGATTTGGACCGAGTCAAGGTTCTTTGGGCAAATATGTGGACCCGAATCGTGCTTTTAACATCTCGATATTCTTTTCGGCACCAAACAAATTATGACCTAATTGGATTTCAACAAATGCATTATTATAATATTTTATGCCTTACTAAGTCTATGACTTAGCGTGTAAATGATTTATACGTAGGTACTGAGAAGCAGGAGGATCAAAGCTAAGTTCAAAGGAACAACATATCTCTGCTCAAAGATCAGAAGTAAATTACACAGTATGTCTTGTTATGTGATAAATAGGTTGACATGTAAATAAAGTCGGTAAATTAAGTATGTATGCTCTGATCGAGTTCTGTAATGTTTTAAACGTATTTATGTAAATGATAACTTTATAGTGATGAAAGTTTAAATTTTTATGAGTTTTATATGTGTTGGACTGAAATTACTGTAGCAATGCATCTGTACACTGTAGCAGTGCATCGATACACATTTTAAATGCGATATTTTTGTGTATCAGTACACTGTTCACGACACTGTACGGTACACTGTTCACGACACTATAGCAGTGCATCGGTACACTATTCACGATACTGTTTATTACTATCCACAGTACTATTTACACAGTATCAATATTATTCATACGGTATAATACTATTCATAAAAATATTTTTTGCCTTAAATTTGTTATAATGAACATAATTCAACAGTATATTATTGTATTTTCTTAATATAAGTTCAAATGTTCTGATATTTTGTAAGAATATTATTTTAAAAGTCAATATGATATCTCGGACTCGTATCTGGGTCGGGTACGGGTTGAGGGTGTTATAAGGCGCCTCAACACATCAAGGAGGGGACCTATAGAACACGACTCATACTCCATGCTATACATCTCCTGGGCTTGATGGTGCTGAGAAACACAGTGGATGCAATGGCGCATTTCCTCAGAGATCCTATTCCATAGAAGCCTTAGAGGAGAATCATTGCGGCCATCTTTGAAATAATTGTAGAAGGTTTCCAAGAGGGGACCCATTATATCCCATGAGCCACACCAAATGTGATTTTCCTTCGGTAAATTTATCAAGACACTGAATGCATCTGCAAACATGGTATATGAAAACGCCAAAAAAATCCCAGCTTGGTTAACTTTAAAGGCAACAAAGTCTGAAGAGCTGAAAAACTACGAACAATTTCCTCAACAAATAGGAAACCAAATCCAAAGAATTAAGGAAATTCAAAAGGTGAACCTTCAAAGTGACAGCATGCAAGGAATATAGTAACTAGATATGTTCATCTATCAATGAAATTTTCAAAAGAAAACAAAAAAACATCAATATATCCAATATATACATAGGACAGAGAATTTCTAATTATTACTAGGAAAAAGAGACTGAGCAAAATACACTGAAAAATGCTTTCCCAAAATATAAAATTGTCTCAATAATATCAGCATCAATAATTAAACCATAAGAGGGAAATCACATCGACACACATAACAATGTTAGAGTGAATTTGCATTGCACATGGTAGACATAGTTTTAAATAGCGTTTGCGGTCACGTTTTCGACCGCGTCGCGTTTATCACGGTTGCAGATAAAACGGATGTCATTGCGGTCAAAACGAGTATCGCGGTCATGAATTTTTTTAAATGTCGCACAACTTACCCTAAAATGACTAAATTAAATATAATTAAAATAAAATTATAAAATTTAAATTGCATAAATTTAGATTACTGAAATTAAGACTAAATTAAATAAAAATTAAAGTTTACATTTTAAACTAGAGATTAAATTATAAATTCTAAAAATGGGAGGGATCTCAAATTAATATATCATCTAAAATTATATTTTAAAAATTATTAAAACAATAAATAAATCACCCCTCCTCTTCCCCTATCTTTCTGCCTTTCCTTCCCCACCTTTATGGTTCTGGCTCCTTCCCCACCCCGTCATTGTTTGAAACAAAAATAGTTATGGCCTTCTGCCTCCCCTTTCCTCCTCCTTCTCCTATTATTGTCCGGAAAAAAAAATTGTGCCACCAATGTTTTTATTTTGGAATCACGTTGAATAACGGTTGTTGCGTCCCGTTATCGGCGTAATTGTTATTTTTCCATTAAATTTTATATACAATTGACCGAGATTGATGTGAATACGTAACCCACATAAAAAAAATCATGAAAACCGGTTTTAGACAGTAACGCGACCGTAATATCACCGTCTTTATCACGTTTTCGAAAGCTATTTGATACCATGTGATAAGGAATAAAACTACATTGGAAAAAAAGTAATCAAGACCGGTTACCTTTTGGGACAACAACTAAAGTATAATTTCTTTTAAAACTGAAAAATAAGAAAAGGGGAACAAAAACACATCAATCATTACGGGCACAACCTCACATGATTTTTTATAACACATTAAACTTAAAATCAAATTTCACGTTATGATGCTGAAACTTAGAGGTGAAGCTTCATAGGAGTCAGAGAGAGGCCTTAGGCCCCAATATATTTTTAAAACTAAATAGTTATATATTGTTATATGTATTTGCATATCAGAAAGAAGAAGAAAAACTAAACTGAACCCTCAAAATAACTTTCATATTTTTTACTGCAACTTAATTTTATACACTATATATTAAAATTGTTGAAACCACGTTGTTAGTAAACTTTAATATTACAATATTCCTAAATTCTTAAAATTAATTGATATGTTATATATATCAAACCAAATGAACTTTAATATTTCAGAATTCGCCCTTTCTCTACAAGATTTTAACTAATTAATGAAAAGTTGGAATTTTATAACTTTGCTGCCATTGTAATAGTGTCGTTCTCTTCTCATCTTCAAATTCACATACACACCGGGTGTTCAATCTTTTTTGGGTATTTCATAGGGTAATCCCTTATTTTTGCTCAGTTTTGACTTTTGAATTTCAAGTAAAGAACCATCATTAAAACCCCCTTCATAACCGTGTGTACAAGAGAATAATAGCAAAAGCAAATCAGTGTGCAAAATAAATTATTCACATAATTGACCACGAGACTAAATGCCGAGATCCGCCATTGCTGAAACTTGTAATCAAAACCTATCAAATACAAAATCAATCAATGGTTATTGATTCTTTTAATTTCCTTTCATTTAAACTATGGAAAGCAAAACTACGATGATCAAGAATAAGCAATGCACCAGCCTTAACAAAACTGTTTTTTTTTTCACAATACTTCCCCAAACCAAACAGTGCAAACTTCAAGAGAAATACCATTTTCAAAGCTCTTCTCAGTAGTAAAATTTTAGATCAGTTAACAAAAATAATTAGAAATATAACAATTTCAAACTTAAACTTACGGCAATACACTAATTTTGTTTCATTTCGAGTATCAGCGGGATATTAAAAAGAACAGTAAAACGAATAAATAAATATCTTGAACCATTGCAGAAGAAAATACGTGAAGAAGAGGAAAATAAAGAAAAACCATTCTTCTTTCCGCTTGTGAAGACGAAATCGTATGGAAGGATCGCCGTCGTCTCCTTCTTCTTCCTCTTCTTCAATGCCTCTCCATCGCTCCAACAGCTCTCTTCTGGAAGAAATCTTCTTCGCCATTTTCGAACTTCTTTATTACAATCGACAAAATATTAAACAAAAGAAAACAATGGAGAATTGTTAACAAAGTAATGCTACTTTCCGCATGAAATTAAGAATAAAGTTAGGGTGGATTTGTTTGGGTGTAATTGATTTTTTTGGAAATTGAATTCTAGAAAATGAATTAGTGGAATTTAAATTCTGAAAAATGAATTATATTTCTCGAAAACATTTCGATGTTTAGAAGGTGTTGTTTAAACATTTTTTCCACGTGTTGATGAATTTTTTAAAATTTATTTATTATTAAAATATTATTTTTATAATTTTGTTAATATAAATATTAATATTAGTATATTTTATTGAAATAAAAATATTATAAAATATATTAATTATTTATTAAAGTAATGGTGTTATATTATATTTTAAAAATATTAATTAGTATATTTTAAATATCTTTATTAAAATATTATTAGATTATTATATTAATATTAAATATATATAAATAATATTATTCATTATTAATAATTTAATAATATTATTTCTATGAAATTAATAAATAATATAAATTTTATTAATAATTTATTATATATTATTAAAATAAAAATATAATATCTTATATTATTATAATATAATTGATTATTTTAATATAATATTAAAAATATAATATTATATTATTAAAAATATTAATAAATATATATTTTAAATATTTTAATAATTAATATTTTGATTAAAATGATATTAAAATATTTTATTAATATTAAATTCATAAAATAAAATTATTTTGAGATTTTATCTTTGAAATGAAAAATTCGGAAAATGACATACGGAAAATCAGACCGTAAGTCATTTTTCAAAAACCACAAAGGAAATTCTATTGACCAGAAAAATGTTTTACGATGACCAACCATTTTTTCTCCAACAAATACTGTAAAACATTTTCCGAAAAACGAATTACGCGAAATAAACACGAAATTTCGGGAATTGGTTTTCCCCTAAAAAAATCGACCCTGAGGGGTTTTCCAAATACAAAAGAAGACGTTGGTATATTTTATAGACATGAATAAAACGAAGTCGTTCATTATAATACTTTCGCGCCTTCCTCTCATGAGAGATGTCAAATAAGCCCTTCAAGGCAACTTGAGTAATAAAGATTAGAGAAAATAACCTCAATGACCAAAAATGCCTTATAATATACGATTTTAACCAACTTT